CCCAGTCCCCTACCCGGCCATGCAGCTTCTCATTGAGTTTGGGCTCCCGGTGCTGGCTCCTTTTCACCTTCAGCCACTGCACCAGGGGCTTGATGGTCAGGCCCTGGAAGACAGGTACTGACCCAGACGGCGGGCAGGCTCCCGCCCAGGGCCCACCCTGGCCCACGGCACCCCCAGTGTGTGAACCCGTACTTGTACCCCCTCCATAGGCACACAGGGTGAAATGGGCCGCCCTTATCCACAGGCCTGACCTGCTCGGAGGGTCCCCCGCTCAGCTCCTTAGACTTCCCAAAAGCAAGGAGAAGTGGGACACCTTCTGGGCGTGTCTGGTCAATAAAACCCTAACTGGGGCTTCGTTAACCAACGGCAGCACAGGAAGAACATTTTCAGGCCAAATCGTGCTGCGTCCCCTGTGGGGCCACATGAAAACCTACAAAACGTCTCCTAGTTACTAAAATTACAAAAACCAATTAGGGCCTGGAGGCTGGAGAGGCTAGAAACAGAGCGCCCCGCTGGCGTGGAGAGGTCGGGGGCGCGGCGGCCGCGTGCCCTCCACCCTACCTGGAAGACGACCGTGAAGAAGACCACGATGATGGTGGTGCTGACGAAGAGGTTCCGCTCCTTCACCTTCTGCTCGTCCAGAAGGACGACCAGAGCGAAGGCCACGGCCCCTCGCAGGCCGCCGTAGGACATGACCACCTGGTCTATGATTTCCAGCTGCACCATCCGGTACCGGTTCAGGACCCAGGTCTGCAGGACCACACCTGCGGGCGGGGAGCGCACTGAGCTCCAGCCTCCTCGAGGGCCTCAGGCCAGTGGCAGCCACCGCCCTGGGGGCACAACATGTGGGACTCCCCTCCAAGGGCAGTGACGGTGACAGGTTCCGTCCCGGGCCAGGGGTCACGGAAACTGCACGCTGTAGCCCTACTCTCCCCAAACCCTCTTGTCCACACCAGTGCTCTCTCCTGGCCACAGGTCCAACCTGCCGCTGGGGATACTCCTCACCCCGCATTTGTGGCTGGAAGCTGCTCCCCGCAGCTCTGGGAATTCGCAGGTGTCCCTGTGACCGGGCTGCAACACTGAGGCCTTGTGCTCTTGCCTCCAGGACCAGGACCCTGCTCTGCTCTGTCAGCCGCTCCCTGGAGCCCTCAGGCCCTGGTGAGCTCAGGCAGAGTGGGTGGTGGCCTCGCCCCGGCACCGCGCACCAGGGAGTGGCAACCAGGGCCGGAGCAGGCAGGAGGGCCCCTGCCTCACATGAGCCTCAATCTGCTCATCAGTGACTGCATCCGCAATGAGTCCTCAGGAAACCAGATGGATTCCTCTAGGTTCTAGAACCTTCCACCCTGACCCCCAGCTATTCTAACTCCATCTCAAGGTGCCGAAGCCGTGACAAAGCCTGGAGTTTCGATGAAGATAACCCACGGCCTGGCCGTGGTGAGGCTCCCCAGCAGCTCCCAGACCCGCCGCTCACCGGGCAAGAGGGCTGTGCTCGAACACCACGTGCCTGGTTTCCACAGCCGGGCCCCAGCGCCTGCCCCCACTGTGCCCAGCGTCCCTCAGTCATCCCCCCTGCCCCCCATGTGCTCCCGCCCCCATATTCCCACCCCCCATCTCCCCCGCATCCCTGTCATTGCCCCCCACCCCCTCCCCCCTCCCTGGTCCCCACCATCCCCCAGCGTCCTCACCAATGGCCCGGTACACGGAGATGAAGACCAGTGTCAGGAGCACAAAGGCCGTGTTCCACTTCCAGATGCGGGGGTTCACGGCTGAGATGCCCAGGAACATGAAGATGATGGTCTCTGCCCCACTGGCCAGCATCTTCATGGTGTAGCGCACGGTGGTGGCTGACTGTTCCGAGATGTTGGCCTTCACGTACTTCTGACAGCAGATGCCGCAGAAGGTGATGCTGGAGGCGGGACGGGCACACAGTGAGGCTGGGGGCTGAGACTCTGGCCTGTGTCTGGGCACATGCCCACCCTACTGGTCGGCGTGCTCGGCTCTGCTTAGGACCAGGTGCAGTCCCGGCCCCCGACACCCCAAGATCTGAACCCTGAGCCACCCAGTGGGCTGCCTCAGCGTCTGTCCTCAGCCCGGCGGTGGCTGGCTCTGGGGGGAGGCGCCAGGGCAGATTCGGGTCATGGGGGTGCCAGCCAGCCTCCCACCCAGAGCATCCGGAAGGGGCTGGGTGTAGGCAGAGCTCACGGACAATTCTGTGAAAACACCAACTCCTTATTTAAAACCTGAATAGACCAGATTCTTCACCCCCACAGTGGCTTCTCACCCCTTAGAGGGAAGCGGGCCAGGCGGATGGGGGCTGGGAAGAGACCCACAAGGTTGTGCCCCAGGAGGGAGGGGCCCCTCTCCCTCCACCCGTCACCCCCCCTCCCCCTCCCAGGCACAGCTGCTTGGCTGTGCTGTGGGTGGGCCCTGCCCTACCCCTGCACACCAGCACGGCCCGTGGCCCACAAGCTGTGTGGCTCTGGCGCTCTGGGCTGTGGGAGCGAGGGGGACTCACGCCAGGATGGCCGACAGTGACAGCATCTCGGAGGTGAGGTAGGACAGGTAGGAGATGACAAAGACGAAGCCGGGCTCGATGATGCGCACGTGCTTGGTGAAGCGGGTCACCAGCGACAGCAGGAAGGCGAAGACGACCCCCACAAGCGTGCCCCCCAGGCTCACCACGAAGAAGGACACTGCGGGGCCGAGGACACTGGCTGAGCCGCCTGAAAGGCCCTTTGTGGCCGGGCGTGGCTGGCCCCTGCGTGTGGGCACGGCCGACCGGCTGTCCTTCCAGACCATTCCTTTCATCGTGGGTTGCCTGGTAACCCCCACAGAGGCGCCAATAACTCAGCAAACAAGCGTCCAGTTCTCCCCCTGAGAGGCCACCAGGCACGTGGAGAGCTGGGAGGCCTGGCTCCCCTCCCCCATCATGGAGAAAGCCCGACAAGGGGGCCTTGGGCAGGGCTGTCCCTGCACCCCTGATACAGCCAGGCTGTCATTGTCCCTGCCCAGAGGAACGTTTGTCCAGATCCACCCAGGACACCAGGGCCCATGTCCTCCAACCAGACATTCTGGTGGGCCTAACGGGGCTGCAGCCCTTGCCTCCCCAGGGTGGCGGGACCCAACAAAATTGTTTTCATAAAACACATTGGGGACAGGAGGGATGGCCACCGAGACTTTTCCCACACAGGCTGTGGGTCCCAGGGGCAGGCCTGGTGTCAAAGCCTGGAGGTGGTCCACATGCTTGAGAAGAGACGTGGCCCCCACATTCCCCAGGTGTGCGGACCCACCAGCCACACACCTATGCCTTTCACGCAATCCACGCCAGTCACCTTGTCACCACCCAGCGTCACGAAAGATTCGAACACATTGTAGAGGACCTGGGGGGACAGAGAGGCAAGCATGACATCGGGCGGACCTCGGCCAGTGCTCACCTGATCTCAGGCCTCGGGCCTTGAGGACTTGGTCTGGGTCAAGCAGGCCATGGTGGCCTGTTCAGGAAACAAAAAATTGCCGGGAGGAAATCATCACAGAGCATCACAGAAAAGAAGATGAAGGCCAAAGACGAGCCAGCGGGTGGGATACGAGAGGCAGAAAACATTCTAGAGGGAACTAGAACCTTTACGAGCAAACGTCGTCCTTTCCTACTATCAGCAAAGCAGGGGTGACCACAAATTTAACCCGCTACATTTAATTCTGTTTCATGTTCCAAGATGAAGCCAGAGTTTCATTTTTAGTGACTTTGCTGTTGCGTTAACTCCCGATTATAGGATCACACCCCTTGGTGTCTTTGCATGTTGACGTTTAAACCTCATTCCACCAAGATGTTGCAGATGAAAGGCTCAGGAAGGGCATGCGAGGCCACAGCTGTGGAGGCTGTGCTGTGTGTCCTATGCTGAGCCCTCCACACCCAGGGGCCGAGGGTAGGACACAGGTTCCTGGGGAAACAGCTGATCTCTGAGCCCCAAGCCTGAACTCTCCAGGTCTGCTCAAGGGGACAGAGGACCCCAAGAGGCGGGGTGTGGAGCTGTTTCTACAACAGGAGGTGCACAACAGGCCTGATGACTCTCGGGTGCTGGGCAGAGTGTGGGCACACAGCCACCAAGGGTGCTGGGGGCTGGACCACAGCCTGGGTGCCTCCATGGAAACGCAGGTGGGAGGGGAGACGAGGCTCAAGCCAGCTGTAAGCGGAGAGCTCCGTGGCTCAGGCATGAGTTAGAGCTTCTCCAGAGAAACGGAGCCACGGCACAGAGCAGCCCAGCCTCGAAGGAGCTGTGTCTTATATTTAAGTTTGAAATTAATTCTCAAATTCCCCCGAGAACATCTTATCTGCTACAGAAGAAATCTGGTGCAGCACAAGCTTAGGGTCTGTCACTCTCCTGAACCCTGAAGGAACACGAAGAGGGAGAATTTCTTAGGCCACAGGTACTTTTAGAGCAAGAGGGACCTTCACGTCCTGCTGTGTCTGCAAAGCCCTTGGGGAGAGGTGACAGGCTGGTGGGGCTGGCCCAGAGCAGGTGCTCGGGGATGCAGCACGCAGCTGACCTGTGCAGGGAAGGTGCTCTATGCATGCCTCCACCTTACCTGTAACGCACTTGCACAGAGGTAGCGGCCCAGTTTCGGGCTGGGTTTCGACAACCCCGTGCTGGCCACTGTGATGCTGAGACAGTACTCCCACATTTCATGAACCTTCTGTTCACTTTACAGATCTGTTGTGGCCTCACACCCTGACCGAGAGTCCTCCCGCCCCTGCCCACCCACCCCGGCCCCGCCGAGCTCCCGGGCTCCGCCTCCTTCCTGGAGACCGAGGTGCTTCATGGGTACGGTCAGCGCTCGATCGTCTTCCCTCCTAGGTTCTGGCGAGATCTCACTGTTTGTCTCTTTAGTGGCTCCCTTAGGGAAATCAGGGCCGGGGGCATCGACTCTGGACCCGGAGTTAGAGGCGTCCCGCTCTGGCAACTGGTGGTGGGGTTGGCAGTGAGGTGTTATCAAGACGGGAGAAGAGTGTTCGAAGAACCGATTGAACAGGCAGTCATTCGGAGTTGGGAGGAAGTGAGAGGGGGACAGCATGCGATGGGGCTGCGGGGGAACCCTCCTCCAGTCAGAGCGGTGGGGGGCGGGGGGCAGAGGGAGAGCACCCCCCACACCCATCTCAGGCTTCTCGCGGCAACTCCTCAAGGCTGATTTCTCCGCCCACAGCACCGAGGCCCTGGGGCCGCCCAGCACCCGCTCACCACAGTGACGGCGTCGTTCAGCAGTGACTCCCCAAAGACGATGATGAATAGGACCTCGTTGACGTGCACCTCCTCGAACACAGCCAGGACGGCCACTGGGTCCACGGCGGCTATCAGGCTCCCGAACAGGAGGAAATCCAGCAGCCCGACCTTCAGGTCTCCTGCAGGACAGGCAGGGCCGTCAAGGAGAGCCCTTCGGGGCCCAGCTGGGCGAGAACCTCTGAGCCCCGCACACCGACTCCCCTGGCCTTCTCGGGGGCTTCTTCAGGCTTCCGTCCTCCTGACTGCCGGCTTAGAAGCCTCTCAGATGGGAATCCCTCTTGGGCCTGGGGCTGGCTGGTTGTGGAACCTGGGTCAGAGCTGCCTGCCTGCCTCCCATGGGCTCCACAGCCTTCAGGAAAGGCTGGTCTCACCCCCATTGGGGACTGACTGCCCCTGGTTCTTCCCTTCATCCACCCTGGGGCCTGCTTACTCCCTCCTGGGGGGCCCACCGGGAGGCTGCTGTGAGCAGATGAAGGACCTGGGGGGCTCGGCCATGCACAGCATGGGATCAGACCCCTGCCCTGGGCCGTCTGCGGTCCAGGGTTAGGGCTGGAAAGGGGGTCAGAGGCTCAACAGGCATGGGAGAAAGGCTTCCCTGGAAAGTGATGTCTCCGCCCAGATGAGAGCCACCAGGACCCAGCCTGGGGGGAAGTGATGGAAGGAAGCAGGGGAGGGGCAGGCCTCACAGGGTCCTGGGGGCCACAACTGGCCTGGGGAAATCCTGGGGGACTCCAGTAGGAGGGGCCACCAGGGAGGTTTGAGGGACAAGAAGGGAGACGAGGGCTCAGAGTGGGGCGGGGGTGGGGGGAGGGGTAGGAAGGGACCTTGGAGGAGCAGGTCCTCAGAGTGAGCTCAGCTCTGCTTCTTGAAATGGCCCAGTGGGTTCCTGGTGCCCTTGGGGGCGAGGGTCGTGCTGAGATGCACTTTCCAACATTCCAACATCTCAGTCTCCAAAGCGGCACCAGGCTGTACTCACAGCCGCACGGCAGCCCGCACCGGACACACAACCTCTGGGACCCGAGGACGGTTGCCTCATCCCGGCTCTGTCCAGGACTCACACCTGCTCTCAGCTGGGCTGCTCCAAGGAAGGCCTTGTCCGGGAGCCTTCCTGGCACTGAGCCGCCTTCCCGGCCTGAATGCACCGAACCAGACCTCAGGCCTGGAGGGTATCGGGGAGGCCCACGTGGGTGGGGAGACACAGAGGGCATGCGTGGGCTGGACCGCTACCCCTCCAGGCACTTGGGCCCTCTCCAGGTCTAGGACAGGGCTTCCGCAGGAGCCCAGCTCTCCCTTAGGGCCACGCAGGGCCCCCTGGAAGGTTGTCTCCTCGGAGAGACGTGGCCCTGGAGGGAGCTCCCCGTGAGCTCTGAAAACCCGGGAGCCTGGCTCCAGAGTCTGTGTCCCGAAGAAGTGGCAGGTGTTAGAACCAGCTTCCAAAGGGTTTAAAATGTGCCTTTTGAAATGGGAATCGTAGGGTTTGCTTTTCTACCTCCAGGCACTGTTGGTGAGGCAGAGGTGAGAACACAGTCCCTCCTGGCTTCAGACACGGGGACTCCACACGCACATTCCACATTTTGGGGCCGTCCCGTCTTTAAACGCCTCCTGGCTCGTGGGTCTCTCACTGTCTAAGGGCCCAGACAGACCCGGTGGTACATTCTGGAAGCCAGCCACTCCAAGCAGGAAGTGTCCCGGGGCCAGCCTGCTCTCCTCCCTGGGGCAACAGTCTACCACCCACTGGCCCTCTCTGACTGCCTGAAGCCTCTGCTGGGCCTAGCCCCGGCTGGCCCGTCCAGACTCCCATCCAAGATACCCACTGCCAGCCCTACCTATGGCTTGGCCTAGGGTGACTTTTCCTCAGAGGGGTGCCCTGGCCATTGGACTGCAGAGACCGATTGGTCCCTGCCTCCCCAACTCCTCAGATGCCTTGCTCCGGGTGTCTAGGGACAGGATAGGCTCATTGGCCCCTGGGTGCTGTTCAGATCTGTGACTTTGGCTGATGCCTAGCCTTGACCAGCTGCATCCTGAGGACTGAACACAGGTCCCCTTAGGGACTCCTGCTCTAAACCCCGAGACTCTCCCCTGTGTCCAGTGGCTAGAGATGGCCCTGCCACGCTAGATGTACCCAACCACCTAGAGGCATCACCAGTAAATGCACCCGGGGCTTACTCACCTCCAAGGCCCGGCCAGACATGTTTGGCCCCATGTCAACCTTAGGGGGTTTCTCTGGGCTGAGCCTGGAGGCGGTGCCAGATGGCAGTGGGGGCTCCAGGAAGCATACGTGCTCCCCATGGGGTGAGGACAAAGTCCCAAGGTGACAAATGGGACAGGTGAGGTGACTATTCCCGTCAGGGGACCTTTGGCCTCTCTTTCTCAACGCATGTCCTTTGTCATCAAGGTTTTGAGGCCTTGATCCACACAAGGAATGCTGTGCAAGGCTGTTCCTTCAGCCGGACGGAAACCACCGATCCGGGCCCGTCCCTGGGAGTCTGGTTCAGCAGGTGGTGGTGTTTGGGGCCTGTGGTGCCAGCACCCACTTCTCATCGGTCGCCCCCAATGCCGGAAGCTAACCCTGTAGACCCATGATGCAAGCGGCCAGCCACAGCAGCCCCGGAACGGGCAGCGTCTAGGGCTGCGTGCACATCTGCGCAAGGCCTCAGCAGAGCCCCTGGCCTCACCTGTTCCAGTTTCCCAGGTAGATAATGGCCAGCTCCCGGGTGGGTGGGGCGCACCTCGGCCGTACGCCAGGGCTGAATTAAGTAACCTAAACTGCAGGAGACACTGGCAGGGGCAGGAGGGGCACGGTGACTGTGCAGAAGCTGGCACGGCTTTTCTTGCAGGTTGGGTGGGGGCGCCCGGGCCGCCGCTGCTCAGGTGGGTGTCTACCAGGCTCCACAACCGGCCTCGGCCCAAGGGGCCTTCTCCTCCCTCTCCCTGGAGGCTTGCTGGCAGGGGAGTGAGGCCCATCCCCACCTCCTTGCTGAGGGGGAGGGACAGCAGCTTGGCCGACTCACCCACCCCACCCACCCGCCAGCCTGGTTGGACAGGGCGTCATTCCCAGGCAGGACACGAACCTCAGCCTGGGGTTGCCTGGACAGGCTCTCGTTCATTCATTAAACCTTACTGTAAACATGCCAAGCGGGTTAAGCGGACCCACCGGTGACATCTGTCACCCCAACCACTCATCTCCTTTTTGGGTCTGTGTTCTGTACCGAGCGTTGTTAAGTGGAGTGCCCAGAGCCTGCTCCCGCAGAGCCCAGCCCAAGGACCCCGCACCGGGGACCCCACCCCAAGGACCCCCCTGCAGACGGCATGCCCACTCACCCATCAGGCCGCTGAGGAAGACGCCGTAGAGGGACAGCCCGGTGGTGGCCGCGTTCCACACGGTGCCCACGACGGCGTACAGGAGGATGGTGCCCAGGTTGCCAAAGAAGAGCCGGTTGGGCATGAAGTAGCCGGCGTCCAGCACGATGGGGGGCAGCAGGTAGAAGAAGAAGACAGTGGGGGTGAGTGTGAAGGAGGCGATGTGGTCGGCCGCCCAGACGATGCCGCCCAGCACCAGGCCCAGCACGATGAGCAGTGCACTCTCGGGGACGACGCTGGTGACCTTGTGTGACAGGTGGAAGCCTGCGGGGGAGGGGGCCGTCAGGGGCGCCGGGACCCCTCCGAGCGAAGCCTCTGGTCCAGGGCCACAGCGGGCCCCTCCCACACGGGCAGATTTCATTCTGGAAACGCAGTAGGCTCTGGGGCTAATGGAGACCAGAAGCAGCTCTCCCTGTTCACGCCTGGGAGTGGGGGCTGCCTGGTGGCTCTGTGGACAGGCCAGCCTCCTGGGAGGGGCTGTCCCAGCCCACGGGACAGACACGGGCCTGGGAAGTGAGGCTCCACGTCTGCGTCTGTGGACGCTTCCCTCCGGCCCCACTCATGTGGCCAGGAGGCCCTGCCAGTCCACTGTCGACTGCTGTCCCCTCGGGACCTGGCCCCTGGGACACCCTCCTCAGGGTCTCCTTGCCTTTGAGGGGTGGGTCTGGGGCAGACAGAGACTCCCATGACAGTCGGGCTGCAGGGGGCGGCTCCTGAGCCCAGGGCACCCTCATCCCAGGCCCCGCGTGGCCCATCCCCTCATCCCTCCATGCTGCCTCACCCAGCTTGTCTCAAGGTGCTGGAGCCTGAAGTGCGGCTGCCTTTTAACCTGCCCTGGTGGGACTCGGGGGGCTCCGGAGGTCCCCCTGCTGACAGCCGGCTGCCTGGGCCCCGTGGCCCATCACCCTTGCAAAGACCTTAGGGTGCAGAGGCCTGTACTCTGAGTGAGGCAGGCTCACAGACCTCCCAGGGCCCTTTTGTCCTTCTATTGTGTTTGTTCTATTTTAAGACTCAGAGAAAAGGTTAGAAGAATTCCTAGGATGTGTTCCAGGTGGCAGCAGCTGCCCGGCCAGTGAAGCCCCCCATCCGGGCTTCCGCTGCCCCTGGACCGTGCCACTCTGTCCACCCCAGGCACCACCTCCCTGCTGTCCGTGTCCCCTCCCCTCTCCCCCCCGAGTCTGTGGAAACCTCTCAGACCTTCTGGTTCCACCAGCCTCTTGCTCTAAGGTCTCCTACCCTTGGTCAATGATCTCTCAGGTCTAACAATGGGTGTTGACCCATGAAAATCCTCTTTACAATTTCCCCGTTTTGCCGTCCTCGCTGGAGCGCCCGTCTTACAGAGATTGTGTTGGCCCTTTTCTGGGAGGTTGAGCTCTGTGGGGACTTCCCTTCCATTTCTTGGGTCACATTTTACCCCAGGTGTCCTCCCCCTTCTCTTTCCTACAACATCGTATGGCCGCCAGCTGCTTCTTCGCCCTATTCGTGCCTGACCTCACTTTATACGCACTCACGGCGCAGGGCAACTTTCTGATTCCGGCTTCTGCCTCATATGGGCTCACGTGAGCTAGAGTTTGGGGCGGGATGTTGCTGTCCTTGTCCTGTGGTCTGGGCACCCTCCTGGGACCCTCGTTCCGTGCTCTCAGCTGGCATCATGTTGGCAGCCAGGGCCGGGCCTTCTGGGCTTCTGCACTTCCGGCCACCTAGCCCAGGCACGAGGGAGGGTGACAGTTTCAACCAGCCAAGGCCTCTGGTTGTTGGGAATTCTTGGTGAGAGAGGCCAGCCCTGCAGGCGGGCTCTCCCCACGCCTGTGACCCCTTCCAGAAGGCAGCTGCACTGTAATGAGCTAATTAAACGGAAGACTTGATTGACTCTTAAGTGGCAATTTGCTGGTGGTTCAGCTATTAAGCATATAATGGGCATTTTAGGAGCCAGTAAACCGAGTTCCTGTGGGGGAAATGCCCTGTGGTCACTGGCCCGAACTGCAGGGACGCAGTCAGGGATGTGGCTCCCAGTCAGGCTGAGTCACCACAGGCAGACCCCTTCTTCCCGCATCAGGTCACTGTGAAAAATCCCTGACTCTAGGGTGGACGCTCAAGGCACAGCCATGGCCTCTGCTGCAACCCCACGGGGGGGGGGGGGGGGGGGGGGGGGGCTGGGTCTCTGGGAAGTGGGGAGGGAGAGAGGGAGGGGGAGCAGGAACTGAGAGGCACATGCCTCACCACGGCCACCAGAAAACCCAGCACCCGGCGTGCTCAAGTGGGCTTGGCCACCAAGACTCCAGTGGCAGGTGGAAAGACCCGATTCCCTCTCAACCCTTGGTTGCTACACCTCGTTAGAGAAGGATCCAGCAAAGGCAAATCTGAGCAGTGACCCAATGACCTCCTCAGGACCCACAGCTCGGGGCCTCCACATCTGGCCTGGCCCAGAGCCTGAGCCATGACCATGGAGAAAGGCCCTGCGTCCTAAGGCCATGTGCCAACAGGGTGGCTGTGACCTTGGGAAACGATTAGGTGGTGCAAACTTCCGCCTCAAAATCCCACGGCATTTTCTGGGGAAAAGCCACACCTCATAGGCTGGACAGGCAGGGAACGTCTGAGCCTTTGAGGAGCCCACAGAGCTGGCTTTCCCATGTGCCCTGCCGAGGGAGAGGGCAGACAGCGATTCAGGATGTGCACCAGCCATGCTGTGCTGACCCCGGGCACAGCCACGGGCAGAAAAGCTTTGCAGAAAGCGGCTCCCCACATGCCTCGAACACTGGAGAAGCAGCAGCTTAGCGGCGGAAACCCCAGCTCGGCAAATATTTGAGCTGCTAATGCAGGCAGGGCACGTGGTGCATACTCCTAGGACTGACAAGACAGAGTGACAAGAACAGTAGAGGACAAAATCAAAGTGCACCAAGATGCACAGACTACCAGGAGCTGAGTGAGGCCGGGTCCGGAGCTCCCCTGCCGAGGCCGGTCCCTTCCGACAAGGGAACGTTAATGAAGCGACTCCCAAACCCACAGGTAACTGATTGCCGAGGCCGGGAGAGTTACAGCTAATTAAGCACGAACGGCCTGGCTGCAGGGTGGTAACCACAGGGGACACACACTTTTCATTCTAATTACAAACTCTCTGACTGATGTTAAAGGTCAGGAGGCGCCGGCCTGCCAGCCAGCCATTTCTGGAGCAGGCCCTGGACAGAGTGGGTGCCGAGGCCCCCGGGAAGGTCATCGCTGACGTGTGTCACGCCCCCTCGGGATGCAGCTGGGTACCCAGGGCCTGGGGTCAGGCCCTATGTGGCCACAGCCTCCAAGGATCTCTCAGCAAGATTCAGCTGAGTCCACGCAAATGCAACAGCACAGTAAATCCTTTGGTTTTACTTTAACGCGCACGAGCCTTGGTCAATTAAACGCTGCCTGACAAAATAACCAGACCAAGCAGTGGAAACATTCCCAGAATGAGAAGCACTGGGAGTACACAGGGGACCCACTTCCCCTGGGGGGCAGGCGTGTAGGGGTTGGGCCTGAAATATCGCACAGTCGGGTCCACACACAGGTGCTCAGAGACACAGGTGGGCACACACACACACACACACACCCCGCACGTGACTTCCCCAGCACTCACTCCACAGACGAGCGTGAGGTTCCTCCCGCGCTTTCCTAGGACGGGACTGGCTCTGAGCCCCTCCCCACCACCCATGGGGAGAGGAACAGACCCCCCTCTCTGACCTCCACGCTACCTCAAGAGGCACCAAGGTATGAGTTAGTTACAGCAAATGTGTCAGCTGCCAAGCCCAGGGCAGGAGCTGAAGATATTTATAGTGTCCTCAAATATTACCTAGCTGACCCCACACCTCCTGCCTGCAGGGATGTTCCAGATGAGTGCTCAGAGCTGTTGTCAGACAGGCCTGGCCTCTCCCCAGGGAGGGTCTGTTTCCGGGACCCTGAGTAGAGCTTCGAGAGCAAAGGAGGCCTTTCAGCATTGGCCCTTCTGCTCACAAGCCACGAGACACTTTAGACATTGCGTGCCTACAAAACTCAAGCAAACTTTGTCAATTTTTAAATTAAAAAACGAAAATTGTTAATAGCTTCCTAGGAAAGCATCAGATTCTTTCATTTGGAGCCATCGTGAACAGAAGTGAGGACAGAAGGAAGGCTGGGCCCCAGCCAGCTTCAAGCACTGAGCCCAAGCGTGCGTGTCCGAGCTGAAGGCGTGCGGGGACAGGGGCTGGAGCCGGAGCCCAGCGAGCACCAGGACGATGTTCACAGCAGCGTCCCTCTCCCCGAGCAACCCCCTCCTTCTCAGCCCTCCTGGGCCAGGCTGCTCCTGTGGTTGTCCACATTAAAGGATGCCATGCTTAAGCTTTGCTTTCTTATGGTTTCATGACTGGCTCTAAATTCAATAAAAGTTTGGGAGCAGGATCTGTGACAATTATACCTTCGGGGCCGGGCACTGGCGGGGTAGCACCATTGTACCAACTGTCCCTAGGGAACAACCACGAACTCTGGAAGAAACATGTCAAATGGCAACTTAGGCACTGAGGAGAGACGGAGAGAAGGCAGACACTGGCGGGCTCCAAACCTTGAGGGAAAGGGCGGCAATGGGCGAGTTCCCTGTTTTCTTTTTTGTTTCGTTTTCCTGACTTCCCTGTTTTTTATGGCTTTTTCCAGAGAGCAGACCCCAGCTGGGGTTGTCCAGAGCAGTTAAAACTAGCCTTACTGGGCTGAGAAAGCGGAGGGCATAGATGACGGTGACCACGGCAGCTGGGCGGTGAGAGGCCAACATTCTATGTGTGAACTCTTCCCAAATTCCTGGCTGATCCTTGAATTACACACGAGAGAGGCAGGTACCAACTTCCTGTCACCACAGGGAGACCTCTTTGGAGTCTCAGTCCATTCCTGGTCAAATGACAGCACAGCACCAACCACCACCACAGAAATCAAGGCTCTCCAGAGGAGCACAGCGGAATACAGAGTCTCTACAACGTATGAGCTATAGTCCTGGAAACAATCCCAAATTACCAGACACATGAAGACACAGGAGAATGGGACCCAGACATCACTGGGGATCTCAAGGTGATCCAGACATTGGAATTAGCAGACGAGGGTTTAAAAAAAACTACTGTAACTATGCTTAAGGGTGTAAAGGAAGATATACTTGTAATGAATAAAAAACTAGTAAATCTCAATAGAGAAAAGGAGTTGGCGATTTGTTTTCAATAAGAGCCAGATAGCAAATTGCTTAGGCGTGTAGGTTCTGTGTTCTGTTCGGCAGTTAGTCA